GTTGGGAAGAGAGGGGAGTGGGAGGGGTGGGGGTGAGGGGAGAGGCGAGAGGTTTAGTGTGTGGAGCTGCTCGCGCTCCGCCCGGGCTGTCAGTCCCGGCTCCAGCCGCCGCGAGACCTTCCCGGAGACGCGCGCACACACAGTGCACCCCCCCACCCCCCGCACACCCCAGCTCCCTTGCTCACACACGCACACACTCAGCTTGGCGGAGCAGGAGCCACTGACCATTCTGCAAGTGCCGGGACCAGCTGAGGCGCAGTGGGTACAAACACTCCGCGTTCCCATTCCGGGCTTTTAGTCTTTGAGACGACGACGAGGGGCGAAGGTGGGCTAGAACGCGGACCAGGCGCCGGGCACTGGGCGGGCGGCTTTCCTGGCACAGCCACCTCCCGGGACCCGCGCGGGCATCCGCAGAGAGTAGAATAAAGAGGAGCGGCCGCAATCGCAGCGCGAGGAGGATGGGAACTCCCGTTTCCAGCTCTGTAACAGACGGATGGGAATCCTGAATGGAGGAGCCGCAGATTGCATTTGCTTGAGAAAATCGTCCAGAGGAACTCATATTTGGCTACTCTGAGCAGTGGAGGGGGTGTCCATGACGTGGCAGGGGGAAAATAGACACCCGAAACCTCCTGTGTGAACTGCAAACTGTAACCGAGCAAGAGGAAAATGGTCTCTGTCTATGTATTTTAATTTCATGCAAAGGGTTTTAAGCATCTGTACTATAAACTTACTTCTATGCCTGTACCCAATTCAGCAGAAACCATCATTATCCGGAAGACCCGCCGTCAGCGGCCTGCCTTCGTTTACCCACATCCCCCTGGAACGGAGATCTGTTTGGGGTACCGCTGTCTACACTATAGAACTATGGCCAAATCTCCATGGATGCTTTGCTAATTCTGGGACTTAACTCCTGGAACCTACCTGCAGGTCAGGAATTTAGCCTGAATGCCTCTGAAGAAATGATATTTTAAGCCGTTTTAAAAATACCTTTTAAAAAATTTCCTGTGCAGCAGGATTTGAGAGGTTTAACAACATGACAGGTAAGAACTTTCTCTCTTTCTAGTCCCTTATCACGCCGCGCAACGAAGGCCGAAGCAGAACAGGACCCTGGAAGGAGAGCCCGGGGACCCAGGTGCCCTTTGGGGCTTCAAGGCGCTCCGCCGGGCGGCTGTTTTCGAGAGAGGCGCAGCCCTCGCCCCAGGACCGCAGGGCCGGCGGCTGGGGAAGCTTCCGGGACGCGCGCGGGGGAGGCGGCGCGGCGCTGCACCTGCCCTGCTCAGGACACAGCCCCCGGGCGAGGCGTCGAGGGACCCCCCGAAGTCAATATTGGGATTTTTAATAAACCAAGGAATAGGATTTTAATTATTCAAACCCCAGCTCCTCTGGGACAGATGCTGTTGGGATGGTCCTAGTCACACAATATTAAAGACACCCATCACTGAGAGGACGAGCAAAGCGTCCAAGACATCCGTTGCAATTAACGAATTGACCAGAGACTGGGCAGCACAGGGCATTGATTGCTGGTGCCCAACCGGACCCTCCTCTCCTCCTCCCCATTCCTCCCCCGACCCGAGTCAGGCTCCAGCGGCAGCCGGGACCGCGCGTCCCTGCTTCGTGGCGGGGGCTGCATTTTTCATGAGCCCGGGGTGAACAGGTGCGAAGTGCGCTGGAGACAGCCGGCCGGCCGCCGGGCGCAGGAACCATGGAGAGCGAGCGCGACATGTACCGCCAGTTCCAGGACTGGTGCCTCCGGACTTACGGGGACTCAGGCAAGACCAAGACGGTGACCCGTAAAAAATACGAACGGATCGTCCAGCTCCTCAACGGCTCCGAGTCGAGCTCCACGGACAACGCCAAATTTAAATTCTGGGTTAAATCGAAGGGCTTCCAGCTGGGCCAGCCGGACGAGGTCCGCGGGGGAGGCGGCGGCGCCAAGCAAGTGCTCTACGTGCCGGTCAAGACCACGGTGAGTGACTCGCCTTCGTCTGTTATTTGTCTGCGAGAGCAGCCTGGCGGGGAGGAGGGAGGCTGAGGGAGCCGTGAGCCACCGTTGGCTCGTGTGCCCCCACCCTCCTCAACCCCCTCCCCAAGTGGTCCCCACTCGCATTAGCCAGGCGCGTTTCCCCCACCGTGGAGTCTTTGTGGTCCTTTATTTTAAAGCGGCAGCGCACCGCCGGAGCCCGCGGCGCTCCTCGCCTCCTGGCTCCTGGACCCTCTAACTGGAGCTTCCATCCCCGGGTCGGGCGGCGTCCCGCGTCCTCTGGCTGGGCCATTGTCCCATGCCCTTCGCTGGGCTCCCGGCGCGTGCCCCGCCGTCGCCACCGCGCATAAAGGCCACGCCGGAACCCCAGCCGCACGCTCTGATAATAGACGATTCTGATCGATAGTCTACAGTGCCTCCTTATTGGTACAAAGCCCGAATGTGGCGCTAGTCATGAATGAGGGGTTCTCCCCCCCCCCAAAGACACTATCAGCTTTTATTGTTAGACCGCCGCCTGGGAGACATGGGGCTGTCCGAGCGCCTTGATCTCTCCCAAAGATCTTGCCACGACTGTTTAGATCGTAGATAAGGTCCTGGAGAGTCCTCCTCCCCGCCCCCATCGCCTTCCTCACTCCCCCCTTTCACAAATAAAGCTGTAGCTACATGATGAACAACAAAGAGAGATGGGCTTGGGCGCAGTCAAATGGTGTACGTATTTGTTCCCTCACTCTGGAATGGCTCTAGTCTGATGGCCACAAAGCTCTAAGCCCAGGCATTGCGCGGTAATGGCACTGAGAGCCCAGGGTATTGCAGCCTCACAAGGCAGAGGAAAGCGGCAGCAGCGCCAGTTTCCTTTCTAAGAAGATGGGAACTGTGGGCTACAAGTAGGATCGCAGATCAGATCCATGAGACTTCTTTCTTCATCATGCCACGGTGGGTACTCGCCTGGAGCAGGAGTGGGGAGGGGATATGGCATCTTTTGCGTTTTTTTTGCCTCGCTTTGGGGTTTCTTAAGCATTTGCCCCTTTTCCTCCCTTTCTACTGGCAAGTGTTTCCTGGAGGATGACAGAAAGGAGATGCCTTGAAACCTATTCTTCTATCTCAAACGGAGGTATATTACATTGAAAGTAATGTGCATAAGAGGTTTTTCAAAGGATTATTTGGAGGACTCTTTTAGGTTTGGAAAACAGTTTATGGTCTCCCGAGATTAATTAGGTGTGTTTGTATGAGGGAAGTATATTTGTTTTGGAATTTATAAGGGAAATGTAAATAAAGGTGAAATGGAAACACATAAAAGTTCTGTTGTTTTTTTTTAAATGTACTGTTGTTTGGAAGGTTTCTAGGAGGTATATCTATAAATGAAGACTTCTCCTTTAATGTGTGGCACTGCTAAAGACAATAGTGAGATGACTGTCTTGCTTTACTAAATAATGAAGACTAGATGGGCATGGATTAGAACTGAGGTTTATTTACATCTGGATGAGCCAGGAGTCTGTTGGAGAGAATGAAGTGCTTTGATTCATTTGTATTGGGAGTAACATTAAGAACCTGATTTTTAAAAATAATTGTTCAACAAAGTAAATTGAAATTCAGAACCTAATAATGTATTTTCCTTTGGGCAATATTGGGCTAATTAAATGACTAAAATAATTATTCAAGATATATTTACTAAATATTATTTAATAATATTGTATGTGTTTTTTGTAAAAAAAAATTGCTACCTGGGAAGTTTGTTGTTCATTCCTTTCGTATTTTAAACTTAGGTCTCTCTGTTTACCTGTCTGATAGCTTCACCTGTTTCGGTCCAATGAGTTTATACTTGGATGGATTTGGTTACATCCATTATGTATAAACAGATATACCCTTTTAAAACGTTAATTAAAAATTCTAAATAAATTCTGAAGTGGTTATAGAGGCACTACAATAAACATGATGTCAGTAATTCTCATACTTGGATACCCATATTTTCTTTCCAAAATTGATGCAGAATTGTTATAGAATTATTGCTAAGACATCTAATATAGAGTAACAGCTCCAGCGTCAATAATAAAGTAACACATTTTTCTCTTTTCAGTAAAGATTCCATGTATTGATGGGAGAAAATGTAATCCATCAAGTGATATTCTTAGGTAATGGTTTCCATGTAGTATTTAGAGCTGTGCTTCTCATTCAGCCTGTGTGGAAATGCTGAAGAGGTTTTTAATTCATGAACTCTTCTGTTGCTCTTTATGAAAATTTTATGCTGCCTCTGACATAGAATTATAGGCTCCTCCTTCTCTAAGAGACAGCCAATCGTCATTTCAACGAGTTAAAAAAATCAATTTTTTTATCATGTGTCCCCACATCTTAAATTATTTCTTAAAAATATGTTGATTTTTCTTTATAATAGCAAGAATACAATCACCTGAGAAAAAAAAACAAATATATTTTCTTTTTCTTCAATGGCGTATCTTGGTTGAATTAAATACTGTATTTGAATGGCATTTTTCAAGTAGACGAAGAATCATTCCAGCTATCTGAAGCTGGCTTTGCTGTCAGTGAGAGAGATCTGCACCTGATGTTGCAGTAACCCACTGCTGTTGATAATTAGGCAACATTACTACTGAGAAAAGGGAAAGAGGAAAGGGGAGAGGACAGGCTGAAGCTAATTAACTACTTGGGTTTAATGAAAGAAAGGGAGACCGATAGCACCTGGGAGGTTGTACTAGAAGAGAGTAGACACTCCCCACACACTTATCTGAAACGTAACCATCTTACAGTCTGAAAGAAGCTAGGTTCTACCTCTTATTTTCCCAAGATAATAGATGTAGCTTTCCAAGTACTCTTTCCCCTAAAGCCTAAATTTAACTGAAGTTAAATTAGTTAACTGATGATAAATCAAGCAAGTGACAACTGGCTTTAAATAAAATTGTAGCATACTGGAAAAGATAAACATGCCCTTTAATATTTGTCCTGGCCATGCCTAAAGCTGAGGGGACATATCTGTCACTGTTTAGATTACTCTGTGGCTGAGGAGATACTGTTTGGTCACCAAGCAACAACATCCTGCAACTCAGCCATTTTAGGTCTAGAGTGGGACCTGTTTGCTTGTGCACGCAGCCATGCTCATACATACACACACAAAGGCAACTTGTTGAGTATCTCATCAAAGTTTTTTTTCCAGGCTACCGCTATTATTTTTATGAAATTGCCAGAAATTTAGAATAATGAAATGATGAATAACTTAAAACAGTTCTGAAAAAGATACAGCAAATGTCTGACATTGATTATAAAAATGTTGAATCAGCAATCATTTTACATTAGCATCACTCTAGTTACTCTATTTTACATCTTTGATAATCCTAGTTTAGTTTGCTTTTAGAAGCTTTTCATCTTGATTGACATTTTTTTCTGGCAACAATTTGTTGAAACATCACACAATTTGTACTACCAAAACGCATTATATCACTTGATATTATGAAAGGTAAACTTAGAAAATAACCAGAAAATTCATTAAACCCTTTCATTAGTCACATGATGAATGCATTACTGTGTATGTTTTAAAAGTGTACTGCACTGTGTTTAATATTAGGAAATTTGGTAAATTTATATTTTATTTGTTTTTTTGTCTTACGCAAACAAGGTAATGAATAACCAAACTGTAAAGTCATATAATATGGGTGAAGCTTTTCTTGACCTATATTTGTAAGAACAAATATTTAGGTCTCATTTTTGCCTTTTATGTTTTTTTCTTCACATATTTACATATATTCATGGGGACCATGAAATGAATTTTTCATGCAGAAAGGAAAATGCATTACCTTTATTTTTGTCATTTAAAAATGATTTATTCAGTTCTGCAGACTGTAGCCTCAGATTTCATATTGTTCTTGCTATGTATGCTACTAATTGATTATTGTACAGTGATTAGAATGAATATTCATGGACTGGTTAATAAACAGTTACTGGGGTATTTTTGTTGTTGTTTTTTGTTTTTTTAGTTCTTTGTCTATGGTTTTAGTTATAAATTCTTTAGGCTACATCAGAGTGAAGGAAATGATGCCTCATAAGGAGCCTGTATGCATTTCTACCTGGCCTAACTTCATGCCTGAGACACACATCGCATATATTAAACTGTGATCTGGAATTTGCTGCAGAAATTCCAAAAATCAGAGCTGAGGAACAGCACCAGCTATATAATATGATACTTTGTATCTATGACACAGAGACAAATCATAATTGTAATCACTGAGAGAAAAGCAAAATTTTGCTTATCTCCTATACATTCACAGTGGGCATTGCTATTGATAACCGATGCATTTTTGTCTTCATTTAAGTATTTTGGGACACGATAGACTAGGTCTTTGGAGTAAAAAGTTCCTAAGGATGAACCTCAGCAATATGGCTTATTAGCTGACTTGAGTGTTTCCTTGTGAGTTGTTGAGAGCAATGAGTCATGTATGGCAACCCCCAGCATAGTGCCTATGTCAGGTTCTCAGGGAATAGTGGGAGCCTTTACTAGAAGGCAGCCTGGCATGAGACTTAAGAGTCAGTGGGCTTGTAGAAATAACTTTGACTATAAGAGGAATTCGGACCATGTTAATATATGAAGACTATCCCACGCTTATTTCCTAAGATAACCAGTTCTTGACTTTTCCATTGGTTCCTTGTCTTACTAGTAAGCACAGTGGGGATGAGGGTGAGGATTCAGCACTCATATATATGCCTTCTATAAACTATCTCAGCCAGAACCTCCTAAGATTCTACTCCTCAAGGTTTTATACTCTTGACTTCCTGCATAAGATAGAGGAAAGATGAAGCAGCAAGCACAGGGATGTGGCAGCAAAACTTCCAAGAGTTCCAATCCCGTGCGAAGAGCATCAAGACCTTTCCCTAATAGCTGGGGAAGATTAAAGTGAATTTAATATGTTTTAGGTTACATTCATTTGTAGAATCCTGGGATAACAAGATAAAATAAACTTCATGGACAACATAAATGGCAGGGT